TCTCGGGCCTAATCCGGATGCCGTCTACAGATTCCTTCCAATTGGTTGCGGCGCTGCCGACGCTGCCTAAGCTCGAGCGCTCCAGCTGAAAACTAATTCCGCTGTGTCGCGACGCTGAGTTCCTCAGACGCTCAGCGGAACTTCGGAATTTCCTCTCGGAAGAAACTTCTAAGAATGAGATTGGAGAAACTCCTGAGAAAGATTCTCCCATATACACATGCACGGGTCTTGGTCTATTTTTTTAAGGACTCGTATGCCCCTCGTTCCCTCGCGGTTTCCGAAGCAGATGACGCTTCGGTATGTGTAGCATCCAGCGAGGCGGAGATGGGCGTCACCCTTAATGAACTCAATTGGGCGTCGATGGTGTTTCGGTGACGGGCCAAAGAGTTGAGCGAGACGGTCGTGAAGCTGCAAGGAGTGAATCAGCCGAGAAGTGGGGATGTAGGGAGTTTAGGCATATGATCTGGAGTTTCTTTTCACTTATCGCTCTAGCTCTCTGTCGCCGAGTCGTGAACCCAAATCAGCTGCTCTCTGCTTCAGGAAGCGAGGAGCTCGTAATAATGCCGCGCCTCACGGAGTCGCCCCATTTCGCCAGTTCACTCCAAGGATGGAGGATTCAAAAAAAGAAACCTCGGAAAATTATGCAAAGAAGGAGATATTCAAATGGCAATAATCAAAAAACGCTCAACCCTTCGTCACAGCGGAGGCAGACGGGCAGCCACAGCCAGAATATTTCATTCCATTAGCGACAAATATTCGCCTCGGACACTCTTTCGAGGCTTCGATATCTGACGCCGCCTCTCCACCTCCGGGCAGCTGCAAATTACTATTTTCAAAGTTGGCATATCCCCCCAGTTCGAGACTTCCCCTCGTTTCCCTCCCTTCCCCCCGATCAGCTCCGATTCATCTCTGAGAAAATCCAGAGACTCCATTCCTCCATCTCCCGAGGGCGCGACAAACATATACCGAGGATATATCAGGAAGCAAGCCCTGTCAACCCAAGGTGGAATCAGCGTCTCCTGAAATATCCTCGTTATCAGGATATCCCTCGATACGTCCAAGAAACAGCGGTCAAGTGAGTGGATTTTCGCTGCACCGCCGACCGATTGGCTCCGGACAAGCTGAGAGAAAGGTGCACGGCAATTCCCTGAATTTCAGATGAGAGAAATACGTTGTCAGGCACATGCGGACCACAGGGTCTCTCCGGAGCGACTCGACGTGTCCAGCCGGTTCCTGCCACGAACGACCCGCCGACAAATTCGTTGCATTTTGCTCTCTCCTGTGTTCCACTGTGTTTCTTTTCTGGTCGACGGAACACTATGTAGTCGCGGCGGCTTCGGTGCCAGTGCGTGCTATGCGAGAAGAAAAATCCAAATTGAAGCCAAATCGCTCGGTCGCACAGGCGGATTGGCTGCGATTCCGCGACCCGCTGCCCTCGTTCGGTTCTGCGCCGCGATCCCCTACGAAATGCCCCATCTGTTCCCCTCGCGACGTCCCAATCCGATTTTCTCACCGTCTCTCCGTCCAGCCCTAACAGTTCTGACCCCTGATCTGCCTGTCGCAAAAGCCTCTTCTCTCCTCGAGCTCCTTCACAGACGTTTTCCCGCTTCTCTCTACTCAACTGTTGCCACTCCGAGATTAAAGCCTGTTCGTGTTTTCGAGCTCTCGAACTGAGAGATATAGCGCTAGGGAGAGAAAAGCACCGAGAGAAAATTCGCTCAGATCAAGTTTGCCTTCCCGGAGGCAATGGGCCGCAAGTTTCGGGAAAAAAAAGTCAGAAGGTGCGGCGGGTCTTGATTCCCCGTTGCGTTCGAAGCGATCAGCCGCATCGGAGATGTGATTTTTTCGAGCTCGGGGGGAGCAGCCCCTCCCCGATTAGCGTCCATCCCTCCGATTTGCTGGGAGTTGCGATGCCATGACATCTGAGAGTACTAGACGTCGACTCGGAACCTCGCTCGTGTCCTTGTTTATCGATCTGCGAGGATTGGAGGCAAACTCTCTCTCTCTTCTCTCCTTCCGTGATGAGAGGCTCTGCGGCATGCGGTGCCGAATGTTTCGCAGCCGGAAAACTCTCGAGAGATGGAAATCCCTCGTTCCCCATTCGTCCCATCGGCTCGATGTCTCCTCGAAGCACGGACTTCCCACTGTGATAGCCGGATCAAGAGCCGGTCGAATTCGCAACACCCTCTCCTAAGAAAATGGCCAATCGCTTCCTCGCTTCGGCTTGCATGCAAGTCGTCGAAAATTCCTTTTGCATGTCGTTATTCTCAGCGTGCGATGTCGTTCTGATTTCCTCTTACGATTTCTTTCAAATCCACGCACAACGAGCAACTTGACCAGAGAATAAACGAGCCTGTCGACCACCCCACACACAGACGCACGCCTCGGACCGGCAAAAAGCACTTTGCTCACTCGTTTGTTTCCCTTCTCAACCCCCTGCGAGAAATTGCAATCTTGATGCCGGAACTGTCAGCAACACCACCAGTCGCTCGTTTGCATAGAACAAATACTTATTCTCACACTGTAAAAGGCTGGCCAGTTGACTCGCCAGAGGATGCTCGTGAGTACTCTCATGCGCTCGCGCTCTTCGTTTTTCGGCAGGATCTTTCCGCAGCTTCTCCCCCGGGGCAATGAACAATTGGGCCAGGGTGGTGCGCGTATCGAGCTTCAGCGAAGAACGTAGTCGCTTGAAAGTTGACGATAGCAATCCTCCCCGACTTTGAGATCCTCGTGAGACTCGGACCAGGAAATGGAAGTCGCCTCGATAGCGGAGAAACAGGAAAAAACGGTTCCATGTCCGGCTCTTGAGTGGAAGTAGGAACTCACCTAAATCAGTGTCCAGATAGCTTGCGATCCATGGTGAGTGAGCTTCACTACCTGGGCATGTCCGCGTGGCCTAATGGATAAGGCGTCTGACTTCGAATCAGAAGATTGCAGGTTCGAGTCCTGTCGCGGACGGAAGATTTTTGATGCTTTCCCATGGTTTTCACTTCTCTCTGTCATTTGCTCGGATACTCCGGAAACTAGCTTCGCTCGTAACCAGAAATTCTTTCGAAGTACGTACGTACGTTGGACTGACTCGAAAAGCTACGCTATCAGACGGAAGCGTGACTATGGTCGGGTCGGCACCACGATTGAGAGGGAGGAATAGCAAGAGACGAAATACCAACGAGCCGAGATTTTCCCCCGTCGGCTGCCGTCGTTTCAGTCGTTCAGTACCTCGCAGGCGTGGCTCGCATTAAAACATCGAAAGAACGTCATCGACACAAGAATCCGCGTGGACACGGAATTACGGGGACGCCGCGACCTCAAGCTCGGGTTCCGCTTGCCACTCTTTCAGAGCAGTATGATGCATTTGAAGAAAAAGGATTATCCCGAAAGCGATTCTTTTGGTGAACCTACTTTCAGTTCGGGCGAGGAACAAATTCACGCGGAAGCGAATATCGTGTGATTCGAGAGCTCTTCGGGAGGATTGCTAAGATCGATAAGCCGCTCGCTAACCTCTGCTAAAAGGTAGATCGTTGAATTTCCTCTGGGACAGACGGTGCGACGTCGCTCTCGTACATCGGGAACAGCGGCAGACACCGGTAGGGAGGTGAGGCGGACGTTCAAGTAAAGAGGAACTAGCAGATCCGACAGAGGAGATTCGGTCGAGGATAAGCGGGAGCGGGTTGAAAACATGGCACTTGAGTTGAGAACAGTTGGAAAATCGCTTCGCTTTTTCGTTCACTTCGAGCAGCGAACTCCCTCACGTGAAGAATAAATCTTTGTTGAAATAATGATACTGGTTAATTATAGACGCCTAAGCAGGATATCCCATTCCTTCCAACGCAAGCCATCGAGAAGAAGGAACGGGACAGTCGGCCGGCCCGCCGGCCGAGCGACCAATGAGTCGGTCTGCCAGCAGCAAGTCAGCTAGGGACACCGGCGGCGGGGACAGCACAGCCTCCTTCACCTGATCTCCACCTGTTAGCGCCGCCAGCAGCTACCAGCGGCAGCCAGTCGCTTGGGGACGAGAAGCAGCTGTCTGGAGGCCTCGCAGATGGAAAGCCGAACACAATTGAGATAGATTGCTCGCTGCTCTTTCTCCCTGAAACGAGCGACCGACCGACCGGGAATTTGGAAAGTCGACGAGCCGACACCGCTGTGCATCGGCCGCACTCACCATTAAGAGTTCAACCGAGCCCGCGTGAAGCACGCAGAGAATCAGTCCGAGAAAGAAAAAAATGGAAAGTCCTTCCAGATTTCTGCGACATCCGAGCTCTTGGGAAGTCCTGACGGAGATTCAAACCGCGAACTCCAGGAAGTCTCGCCTCGGTCGCCTCGAGTAATTATCATCGAATTATCACCGCGAAGATCGCTCGCCTAAAAACTGGAACTCATTCGGGAAGGCGCGCCGGGTAAGCATATGCCGTGCATCCCTCAAAGTTCAGTCCCTTGCGGTCGTACCCGGGGCAGGGCCATAAAACCGTCTGCCAATCCCTGAGACAAATGGAGAATCTGAAGTTCAGACAAGTTTGAAACTTCCCGAAACTATGGCTCCGGAGGGAGCTCTCAAAACATTTAGAGCTCCGACTCCGACTGATTGAAGTTATCGGAGACGGTGACGCGTGGAGAACTCCACTAGCAGACATGTCAGAGACGAATAACTCTCAACCGATTTTTGTCACAGTAAGAGCAGAGAAGTGGACTCGGCGTGTTCGCATGATGGTCCTGCTCCGCCGCGCTGCCGTATTTCGGCTCGGGGAAGTACGGTACTTCCGAATCGGGGCAAAAGAAGCATGAGCTGAGAGACGTGGAATCGAAATTCGGACGAGACACGAGACTTGCATGAAGTCATGTGGAGTGTTTCTCCTTCAAAACCCATGGTACTTTGCGAGGAATCTCACTCGTGTGAAGAGCCGGGGGTGGCGAGCTGGATGCTCGCTTAAAGGTGGCTCGGTGGCGATGCTTTCCGACGGGAGCCCTTCCACTCTCTCCGCATGTTTGTAAATAATGTCGTTCGCTGCCGCTGCTGCCGCCAAGACACAACCACCAAACGAATTACAACAGCACGCCGGTGTTTGTGTTGGTCGTCGAAATCGATATTCGCTGAAGGGAAAAGTGATCAAATTCTTCAGAACATGGCCAGTCTACCGTTGAATCCGAAACCCTTCCTGAACAGCTTTACGGGTGGGTGATATTAGAATTTTCGCTTGAGCCGCGGTGGTCCGACGGCTGATTCTCGTCAGACAGAAAAGACGCGCCTTTACTTGAACGAAATGTTTAGGATAAACTTCCCTCCTTGATGACTTGTCCTCGGTGATTCGTGACTTCTCGCCTAATTATTGAGCTCTTCAGGTAAACCGGTGATTGTCAAGCTCAAATGGGGTATGGAATACAAGGGATATCTGGTGTCTGTGGATGGTTACATGAACTTGCAATTAGCCAACACTGAAGAATTCATCGACGGAAGCTGCACCGGAAATCTCGGTGAAGTTCTTGTGAGGTAAGGAGCTAGGTCGTCTCACGTTATCATCCGCCGCTTACCAATTTTGCTGCGCGCGTTCGTTGCGGGGAGTGAGCTCGCAAGAATTGGTATCAGTATCCATCATGGCAATATATTCGACACCAATCTCGCCTCACTGGCATCGTTGTGATTTCGAAGGTTCGAGTCTGAGAGTTTCCTGTCTTCCAGATGCAACAACGTGCTCTACGTCCGGGGAGCCGAAGAGGAAGAGGAAGACGGCGAGATGAGGGAGTGAAATAATTCTTTCCCATCCAAAACCATGACGTCCCCTGATCTCTGGTTACCGAAGTTATGTGATCATTCTCGATTCCTTTATATTTTCACGGAAATAAACGATTATGGGTTGGTTGGTCGATCGAACAACGTCAGGTGGTTGTTCCTTGCATGTATTGGGATAAAGAATTCTGATTTTCGGCCAGTACCGGAATCAACTTCATTCTTTGGGACTAGTGTGATCCACATTCCTGATATTTCACACGGGCAACTTTTATTGAATTTATGACGCACTAACTTGCCAATCAAAACGATTTCAGCGGTCGTGGGTCCTCTTTTTAGCCTATTTCGCGACTTGTGCTTCTCAGTCATCTGGGATCGTCGCCGAGACGACCGAGAAAGTCCATTCATCAAGCAGATTATTTTCTTTCTACTCGTATCGTCTCTGAGCCGACTTCAGATTTGTGCGAACTACATACTTCATGGGCTCCTTTCAACGGCATGCGATATGTGACCATACTCACGCTGCTCTTCAGACAACGTGGCTTCGGGGGAAATTAGCATAACGATAACAAAACTGTGCTTGCCTAAGGGAAGATTCAAAGTGAGCTGAAGTCTATTGCTCGATACTTCAGGACCCAAGGAATATTTGAGCTTTTTCCTTCACGGGCATGCGCATCTATCTGAAGGCGGGAGTCTTCACAGCCGCTCGAAGAATTTGGGTCCGGTAGACTTCGGTGAAGAGATCATTGACAGGCTCGTTTTTCCGGAACGGATGCGTCGGGATTATCGCGACCGAAAAGCGTCAGATGCTCCCAGCCACGAAGTTTCCGGGGTTTCTCTGCTCCCCTGAGTTTCATTGGGAGTTCTGCCCCTGGGAACCTTTTCTGAAGGAATTGAAAGTCAATCCGGGACAGCGCTTCCGATGGCATTGGCTCCGGCTCTCTTGGCATAGTAGAGTTCACGGTTTGAAATTCTGCTGGAAGAGTAGGGCTCCGAAAACCAGGAGCTGGAGGTAGACGAGACGGAACATCGCCTCCTGGCAGACCAGAACGCTCGTTATCGCCAACAGGAAGATGAAATATCCAGTGGTGCGGTAGTAGTACCTGAAGCGAAGACATCATTGGGAGCAGATCGGATAAATCCCTCGATCTCGAGCATGGAGAATTGAGCTCGTCTCATCGCGCACGTCCCCGCACGAACCTGTTCGGATGCGGCACGTTCGATTGCAAGACGACGGTCGCACACAATATCGTCATCGGTGCCGAGTATAGGAAGGGATCGTTGGGTAGCGGCTGGAAGCTATTCCACCACACCAGGAGCGAGGGAATGTACATGGGCAAGCAGAGGATCTGCATCAACAACAAACTGCTCTGCAGCTTCCATCGAGAGCTGTACGCGGATGGGCCTTTCCTGTCCTCGAGGAATCGGTTCTGGCAGGCGAGCACCGACACCTGAAAGAGCCTCCGCGGTGAGATGATTCGCTTTTTCGGAGGAAAATCCAACCTGAGTCCGAAACGATAGGGAACCAACGGACCTGTATGAAATGTACAATAACGACCCCAACCAGGGCGATACCGCCGCCGGTTCCGAACGAGAGGGCGAGCATGCCCACCAGCGACGCAGTCAGGTAACGGGAAGTATGATTCTCATTGTATTGCGGTGCTGTATTCGGGTCTTCCCACGCGGAGCGCATTCTCTTCTTGACCCTGATGTATATTTCGGCGAAAGATCTGAGCAAGAGTTCGATGATTTTGGCCAGGAGCGAGATCAACCCGATCGCGAGCGAGTAAGTGAGTGCTCTTATGATTAAGGACTCCGTGTGCGAAATCTCCGCTTGTAGCCTCACGCGACCCAAATACGGCGCCAGCGGGGGCGGCACCGACGGCAGGAACGAGAGCGCTTCGAGAAGAGCAGGGATCAGCGTCAGCTGGGCAAAAGTCGCGCTCCTCTGAAACGAGTCCCCGAAACCAAAACAAAGACCCAGCTTGCCCAGATCGGCCAGTTGACGCGTGATGACAACGAGCACAAAGGCGAAACAGTATGCCAGAACTCCTTCGCCGTGGTAGCGCAGTATTTGACTGAGCGAGGTCTTCAAATCATAGCGGAGGAAGACCTCATATGAGCAATCGGGATCGAAGTAGAACTCAAGCGTGCTGTTATGATCGTCCTTGAAAGCCGGCGTACTGAACAGTTTCAATGTGAACTCCGTCCACGATTGGCCAACGCCGGCAACCGGGAAGAAACGCTCCTCGTTCGACCAGTCCGTGCGGAACCGTGCGTGGGTTTGCTCGGTTGTACCGTCCAGACACAAATTTGTGTGGATACGGATGGAGTAGGCCTGAAAGATTACGGGAAATTCCTGAATTTGTGAAATTCCGCAATTCCTCTCACATCAGGAAACCAGTTCAGATCAATCATGATCGTCATGTTGAATAACGAATCAGCGTTCACTTGCCTGCCACATGTGTTGGAAGTTCTTGAAATCCAGCCGCTGGTAGATAGCGCGATCAGCGAGATGGATCGAGAGAACATTGACTTCGGAGAAAAATCCCCTCAAGAAGGAATACGTGTCAAAGGAATGACTTCTCTTCTGTGGGTCGTAGCGCTCGCCGAGGATGACCACGTTCGTCAGGAGAGCAGGTACGTTTACGACGAGCGACTGATAATTCTTCTCGGTGAGTTCGTTCGAAGATACGTGGTACACGCGACCCGACGCAGAGGCTACGCTTCCAAACATCGCGTCGCTCACTTCTCTCGAGGGCGGGAAGAGATGATTCCTCCTCGATATGTCGACACCGATTCGACAGCTGGCGATTTTCGCCCCGCTATCGCTCTCCGTACAACCGAAGAGCCAATCATCGTTTTTCAAGCCGTAGGCAAGGAAGGTTATCTGGGTATTTTTGTACATCGGAACGTAGAGCGACACGGCAGACACGGTTTTTTGTTTGGCGAAACGCCACGTAGCTTCGAACATTTCCAGCCACTTTCGACCTTTTTGGAATTCGGTGAATCGGGCGAGTCTCGGCAGGTGCTGAAGCGACGTGTGTTCGGCGAATTTCCTGATGAAGTGATAATGGAGAATTTTCAGGATGCGATCCCTTGTCTGAATGACCTCCGAAACATCCGTCAGAGCCCGAGAGAGGACAAGTTGGAGCTGTTTGCACCAAACGATGCAGGCATGATCTGCGGAAGCCCAACAGTGTGGGACTGACTCCGATAGGACCTTCAGATTCTGTGGGGAATCCCCGAGGTTCGATCGGACCTACAAACGAAAGAACACTCGATAATCATTCCGCGCTTTCGCAGCTCTCGGCCTCACACCGTATAGCCTCATCTCTTATATTGCTCCCCTCTATGACTGAGGACGGAATGGAGGAGGGGAAAAAAACGAGGAGGAAAAAAACGGATGACTCGCTCACCTGCAAGTCTCTCTCACCACCCATGACGCTGAGGACCGGTGGGAGGACGTGTCCGACTTGATCCCATAGCCCTGTAACCCGCTCGTAGAATTCCCACAATCCCCGATCTAAATAAATCACAGGTCTCCTCGTCGGAGAGGCTAACTCGATATGTAGAGCCACGGTGGACACATCAAAGTCCGGTTGCAGATAGAGACTCCGTGCCACGATACCTCCCATCGAGTGTCCGATGAGGATGACGCGTAAGGGTCGGTCGGGATTCGACCTTTCCCAAAGCTTCGAAATCATTTTCAGACATTCATTGAGATAGTCAGCCTGTCGCGTGAGAAGACCTCCGTACAAAGCCGACAGTTCCTGGATAAAAGTAATGCTCCTCAGCATAGATCCCGAAATCATTAGTATTAGCGATGTGTACTTCCTAGAGAAGAGGAGTCCCAGACTCCTGACCAGGGAATAGAGGGAGGCGGGCCGGGGAGTTCGAACTTCCAAATGAGCAAATCGATAGAGGAATCTTCCAAATTCTTACCCCGGCGAAGTCAACTGTGTAGACGGAGTAGATCGTCTCGTAGTTGTGCATCATTTCGGATTTCAATTTCAGAATCGAGGCCAGAGATCGGACTTGACCTCGGTTCCCAGCGCTGCCGTGCACGAATATCAGCGGGATTCCAGCCGGGGGATCTTCAACAGGATCGTATGGCGCGCCGCTGGAAAAGTTGTCAAAAAATTTCTCAAGCTGTTCGAGACTTCTTTGAATTGATCAAGGCGATGCTTGTGAAAGGAATTTCGACGATCAGAGAGTCTATGCGATTGATTCGGAGCACGCAGGGTGACGGACCGGAAGTGATCGTCGAATTGTCCGTGCTGAATGAGTGGTTCGAGTCATGCTCCCATACTCACAGAGACCGCGGATCAATCGATCTATTTATTTCAGCTCTGAAGATAATTGAACCACATGCTTGGATTGAATCATGCATCGTGACCGGGGAACTTCCATGCTCCGAAACGAAGCGGGATGGAGGCCTATATGGGAAATCTACATCCGTCGAGCCACTCACCCTTCGCCATAGAGGTAGAGATTGTAGCGTGGGAACTTCTTCGACACATTCGCCGGCATATGCACAGGCTGAAGAAGAGAATGAATATCCTTTCGAATATCTTTTGAATTCAGGAAGCGATCGGGACGGATTGGAATCTCCTATCATTAAGCATTTATTGAGCGGGAAATGCGGAGAAGGGGGACTCACGTAATACTGTGGAACCGATGGCATATACGTCATGTGACACCGATTGTACGGAAGATCGAGAACATGTCGAAAGAAGATAAGGCTGCAGATCACAGCGAAAGATCCGACTAGAGTTCCCGTCGAGACCGCCATCACCGAGCCTGGGCTTTATGAGCACGACCTCAATCCTGAAGGGGGAGAACCGCGCTCTTCAATTGTCCTCCGTGAGAATCTCAGTAGCAAATCTTCACGCTTGAAGACAGCGACCGCGCGACCGCGAGTTTGATACCGCACAGCCGGCGTCCCCTGCTACGATGAAGGTATCTCGTGGCCTACTATCATGGGATCATGGGGATCTCAATCCTTCATTTATCTCTTCGATACCTACTTCATTATGGCACCCCATTCTAGAGCTCAGCGGACTCATGAGATTTATTCGAGTAGCCTACGCAGAAATCGAGAGTTCCAAGAGCTACAGCGTGCGAAGAAAACTGTCACGGAAGCGACTGCAATAATATTGTAATCATCGTCGACTGCTCGTGTAAGTGCCATAACGGCATGTTTTCCACGGAGCGAAGTCAGGTTCGTTTACCGGTCGGCACGGTTTCCGCGCGAGCTCAGCCTCAGACTCACCATGGATTATTGAGAACTTGGCATGCAGGTACCGAGATCTATCCCCTGAATTCCGCATCGAACACATCCGAATCACAGAGCCGCTCACATCTGACTGATCGGGACCCGCTACGCTCAGCTGACCGCGAGAACCAGTCGTCGTGTTTGACAATCTCCCAACCTTCCATGCGTCGGCTTCGCTATACACAGAAGCTTCGATGATAGAACCTCGAATCAGAGGCGCCGCCGAGAGCTCTCTCTCGTCGTCTCCATCGGCGCGGTGTTCGAGATCATCCGATGCGTGCGGACGGGTCCCCCTTTCGCAAGCTAATCGTCAACAAAAATTCCGTGGAGGACCATCGCTACGGGGACTTTTTGTCGATCAGCATCGAGCTTGTGGTAGCATCCTACCCCCGGCATAAATTAATGCTCATCGCCTGGAATGGAAGACCGTCAATGTCGGCATCGCTCAACGCGTCTCGGATCGGGCTATCGTCTGGAAAATGTGGCCTGATTCCCGTACTCTCTCTCTGTATATCGGGAGGGTTTTCAGAGTGGGAATTCGATCAGGCGATCGATCCTCCCTGGGCGACCGTGACGCCATAACGGATCCTTCACCGACCCTGTCAAGCAAGTGATCTACGAGAGCTGCTAGTCTTCGAAGGCGCAGGGGAAATCGAGCGCATTGCTTAGAGAGTCTTTCCCTTGAGAGAGGTTCTAGAAGACATTGTATGAATCAATATCGGAATATCATCCATCAGCGGATACCCACACACCACTCGACACCTCGTCGACAATCAAAAAGTCTCATGAGAAACATGTTCTTGGGATTTGGGCTAGGGTTCTAGAGAATATTCGACTGGGGTCAGCTTCGTCTGTAAGTCCTGGGCCCATTGACGTAAGCATGACTTTATCTGATCTTTCTTTGAAGATCGGTTCGAGGGCGTAATTTCGGAATGAATGCGAAGAATGTCGATTCAGACTTTTATTCGAATCGCATCAGAAAGATCCTGTAACCTATAAGTTGATCCGATGGAAAGCTGTTTCATTTTTCTCCCTAGAATCGTCAACGTGACCCGTTAGCTGTCAGCTCTCGATGAGCGACAGGAGACAGAGAAACTTGGGATTTTCAGCGCGTTCGGAGCGCTTTCCCAAGTGTCTGCGTAGACTGATTCAGAATTTATTGTGCATCTAGTATCCCATCAGATGTCCTCAAATACTGTACACGAGTCCGTACTGGACCGAGCTGCCTTCTATACTTTCTCGGACTCACCACGGGGATCTAACGATGGGGAAACCCGTGTTATTTCTGTTCTTGTCCATCTATTTCATGAAATGTACAGGAGTATACACAATCTCATCGGTCGAGGTCAGACTAATCTATCACTGGTTGTGGTCCACCATCTTGGCATGAGCTGATCCGTCGAGAAGCTCCTCGTCTACAGCGATGGATTCCTTGAGAAACTTCGCTGCGTGCTCGAGAGGGGATAAATGTTTCGATCACTTTAAATCAGAAAACGAGGTGAGGTTCCGATGTGCGAGCCGCAGGAATCGCAACGGTTCAAGGATGGCAGATTCATTGAGCATCAGGACTGTCACGAATGGGTTTCGGCTTCCCGAGCGCAGTCCACACGAAGGCTTTGCAACCTTTCCTCTCGTCGAAGAGAATAGGCTTGTCCCGAGCGAGATAGTAATCCGACGGCGCATGGCACTCAAAACTCATAGATCTCAGGTCTCGAGGGAAATCTTCTTCCGGACCTGCGATTCGAGGAAGAAAAACGAGATTCACAGTACCGATCAAGATCATTTCCGATGCAGATGAAACATGGGCACCTAGTACTACTCAACCATACCGAGCACAAAAGTGGCAGGATCGAAGGAGCCGTCGCTCGGACTCCGTTCTGTCGGGATGAGCCACGATATTGTGGCACTCGTTTGACCAAATTGATCAACGAGGAATGTCCGTAGTTGAGCATAATATATTTCCGAATCATCGCCAAGCATGGAGACCACGTCTCCTCTCTGCAACGACAAAAGTATTTTGCGTGAATATCCCCGCCGTTTGTCGTTATTTCATCCGGTCTGAGCCACAAGTTCAGCAGGAGCTCCTCGGGAAAGCGGGATGATACTGTTTCGGGGAGGTTGGGGGGGACTTCGTCCCGATCGTTGCTATGCCTTCCGGCCAGGCTCGAGTGTAAGACGGTATGCGCGGATTTGCGACCTCAATGGAAATACCGGAAGATCCTCACCTGGAGATAGCTGCCTTTGTGTCTGATATAATTTGACGTGATGAAATGCGATACAGCAGGGGTCGTTTTCATGGGTGCGCTCTTCTTGAAGGTTAGAGATCGGCGATTCTTGGTGGCGCTCTTCACATACTTCGCTGTCTTTAGGCGAGTTGCTTTGCGCAGCTGCAACGGAAAGGATCGTGGTACGAAAGAAGTTCCCCCGAGCTCTCAGGAAAGGAAATCTCATTATGCGTCGCGGGAGTCAGCTCCCTGCCACGCAACACACGAGCACGGATGGTACCAACAACCAGCGGCGGATTCACGACTTTGCCGCTCCCAGGCCTAATCAGGAGTGCCGCCCTGAAGCAACCCATCTGGGAATGAATCCCGGTTCTTCCCGGCGCTTGCTTCAAGTTTTTAAGATTTCTTCTCTACTCCACAAAAAGCCCAAGGATCCGTAGACTTAGAAATCGTCTTCACTTATTCAGTTCATCCCAGAAAACCAAAAGAAAATCCTTCTCAAAATAAGTTGATCGGGCATCCCAGAAATTATGTCTCGCTGTTCGGTATTGAGATAGCTCCTCGCCCTTAATCGCGAATAAGAGTCGACGTCCTCGTCTCGGTCTCGAATGATTTCACTGAGTGAGTTGCCGAGGATTACACAAGATCCAACCAGGATTTCGCCGCCTCCCGAAAACTGCCGCCCCAGTCTATAGCCTACTAAGCCTACTGGGTAAATCCGCCACTGCCTACAACATAGGTCAAACTTGGGATTAGGACTCAGGTACCTAATTGAAACTGACTAAGACTCAGAAATCCTACCTCTCTTTTCCGAGGACTCGGGGCTTTCGGAGCGGCGTCATCTTGATCCGCGAGGTCTTCTGCTTCTTCGTTGTGATCGCTCCCGCTGGGTGTTGTCGGCGGATCACTGCCGGCCTGTGAGGTGGACGCGAGGAACTTTTTCATTAGATATTTCATTCAAGTCGACTGAGCAGCTTTTTCTCTCGGAGAGTTCTAGCTTCATCATCGACATGATGTACATATGATTCTGATAGCGATTTTGGAACAGACCTGCGACAGCTCTTCATCGCCATCTTCTTTCGTTTCTAGTTCACTTGCAGCTTGACATTCCACGCATATCAGATCTCCACTGGTCGTCGTTCTCCAGAACAAGGACTCCAGAACGTGACATTTGCTGCATTCGATCGTTCTCTTGATGCATTTCACCTAGGAACACGCATGTTGCTATCAAAAACACATGTCTCATTTTATGGAATCCTCAAACTCCCCCGTCAAACGTAGAGGGTGATCGATATGGATTCACGAATCTAAGGCCAGGACGATAGGTTTCATATTAGAAACTTGCTGGGTCGAGCTTCCCGCCAGGGAGGCGGAGGAACTAGCGCAGATCGCTATGGGCTCCCTAATAGATCACAGTTCAGCTGTCATGGAAATACTCATAATTCAACCTAAGGCACGCGCTTTACTTACCGACACTTGCTCCGCGAAATTCTCAGCCTGGCACCCTTGAGCCTCAAGTTCCTCCTGCTCCTCAGTTTTCGTTGGAGGATCATGGTCTCCGAGGCATTCTCCGGGAGAGTCCCGACTCTCTGCGCCAGGCAGAAAGTCTTTTCCTTCAATGACTATCAATGGAGCTGCGGGTTTCACTATCTCGTTCTCCCCGGCGATCTCGTCAGGTTTTTCGTCACTAGAACGCCTCGAGCAGATCTGTACTGAGTCGGATTCGCATGCGATATCCTCGGTCGTGGTTTCCAGAGTGGATTCAGTTTTCACATTATCGGCGTTCGACGTCGCTGCTTCGGGCTCTGCGATAGGCTCCTCCATCGCTAGTGCGAATTCCTTCTAACTCAGGAAGTACTTCACTTCATTGCCGCATCAGGACATCCAGAGCTTCCCGAGTAAGCCAGGATCTCGCCGCCCTGAATCGTTCGAGCTGTGAGTCGACTCTGGTCCAGTGATTTAGACACAGAATTCTTTTTCTCTGGCGCTCTCACCTCGAGCACGGATGGATGCATGCCGATGGCATTCCATCGGGAGCGGGCGGTCTTCGTTGGGTGATTTTTGTCAAAACTCTCAAGCTGCTCCCACTGATGCCAAGACAAAAGATTCTCTGATAATTTCCAGGTCGTATCTTACTGAGAAATTTTGGTGAATCTGATAAATCAAAGGGTCCGGCTCTGTGGGGAAGACCGAGCCCAAGGCGAATCGTCAATCTATTCTCGCCACGATCGCATCGAGTATTCATCTGCGCCACCTCCTGGAGGGATTCCAAAGCAGGAACCCCTTCCGTTCTCGGAGTGCTGAGCCGTCCAGCATGGGCATACGAGTAATGTAGTTTACGGTCACAACCATATCCAAGAAACTGGAAAGGCGGGCAGACAGCCTTCGGCTCTGCTATCAGCTCAGGTTTAATCAGCTCTCCTTCGCTCGCTTCTACTTGGTCTCCATCCTTCCCCTTTTGAAACTCCCCATTCCTTTTCTGGCATCCGTTCTTCAGGAGGACCGCGACATTCGCGAGCCAAGCGACTGCCGATGAACATGAGATTCCTCGCTCATATCCTACGCCTTCTTCTACTGATCTGTTTTCTGCAGGTCGCCCTTGCGAAGCAGTGCGGTCACCTGAATCAGGTAAGCCAACAGATTCGCCTCTTCTCCAGGGTGTCATCAACGGAATATGCCTTAGATTTCACTCTTCAGTGGGAAGCCCGACGTGTTCCGTGACCAGAACCTTGTTTCAGGCATGTGATGGCGTCAAGATCAAGTGTTGCACGGGACATGTGTGTCACAACAAGAAGTGCATCTGAAAGCTCGTCCCGGTACTCAGACCACGACACCTGCACGGGTTCGAGTGTCCGGACACGCTTACGATCGGACACTCGAAGCGGGCATGCTTGTTAGATCCTCTCCCGCAGGTGGAATCGGCTGAGAAATCGTCAGCTCCTGAAGCATGAACACTTTCTTTCGTATAAAAGGCCTTCATATCTCAATCTTCAGCTTCACTCACGGCTTATCAATTTCGAGAGGCGGGTAATGACGACAACCCTCTGAAACAATCTAGTCTTCATCACGGGCGTTTTATTTGGTTGGACAGTTCTAACAAAAGCGCTTTATTCCGATGGATTTGCACGAGGGATGGAGCTTACAATTATTTTACAGGGTCGTACCTCATCGTATATGGCTCATCGAGTTGTCTTCTCCTTCGCGCGGCTCTTTTCCATTTTACAATTATTCGCACTTGTCTCTTGTATCTCTCACTCTATCGTTCCGTCAATCAATCAGTTAGTCTCACTTGCGAACACTTCCGCGATCGTCCCCGATTCACCGAACGGAGTTGTACGGGACGATCCCTAGTGATTTGATATTCGATCTCACGTGTCAACAGGTCAGATATATACCTATGTTAGAATGGCCGCTTCTCAGGTCGGACAGAACGTTTTGTTCAATGACGCCATCGCGAGCGGCCACGAAACCGGTCCGAGCACGATAATGTCTTTAAGGCGCTGTTTCAAGTCGAGGAAATATTTTTTGAACTCGAGACCGCATCCGGTGCTCAGTCTGAAGTCGACAAGAACCGAACCATTCATGTCGAGGACGTTCGCCTTGAATACGAGCCTTTGCCGACGCTTGTCATGCAACGTCACGGTGAATTCCAAGCCGTTGACTTTGTAGTTGAAAGATAATTTGTTCAAGATCTCCTTGAGCTTGTTGCAAGTTTCTTCCGCGGACGTCTCCACGAAGAACCTCGTCATGCGCTTGACCAACCGCTGTATCGGATTCTGCGTGGTCTGCGTCGTTCCACCGCTCAACTGCGAGTTCAGCAGGATATCGTCCAAGCAGGCTGGTTGTGAAAGACACGAAATGTACGGCTTCGGTTGATTCTCGGCCGGCAGATCAGGTTCGACCGTGACTTGGCGTATGAACTCTGGCTGCGATAAACAGAACTGCTCCATGTAGTTCCTGTTCGGCGCGGCTCCGATCTCGATGCAGCTTCGTTTCCGAGAGCTCGCGCCATCCTCGAAGTTGTGTACAACTCTCGACGCTCCCGCACCCTTGAAATTCTTCAGGAACCACGGATGCAGTTTGATCTGTGATACAGTGTACCGTCGATCCACCCGCGGACTCAGCATCCTCCGCAGAAGAGACAGAGCCACAGTGTCGATTTTCCGCCATGGGGAAACGTAGTCCTGAGGGGAGAGCGATAAGGGATGAGCTCGGAATCATAGGGACACACCGAAATTCTCTCCTGAAGGTGTCTTGCTCCGATGTTTCCGAGATGCTCAGAATTGCCTACCTTTCCTTCTTTCCAGTCCACATATTCGGCACATTTAGCAGCCGGTTTGTCCCAGGGCAGCTCCCCCGCGAGCAAAGTGACTAAGATCACTCCGCAGCTCCAGATATCTGCCGGTTGTGCGCTATACTTCTTGACGAGTACCTGAATCGGAACCGGGATCTTCCTCTTAGTCCTTTGAGCTAGATGGTACGCTCGTACCACAGCGAGATCTTTGCCATAGTCTTATTTGGTCTCCCCGTAAGAATTTCCGGAAAGGAAATTAGTCAGCTGGCGGATATCTCGGTCAACACGTTATCGCCCCCGATAGAATCTCTACCCAACGAACCTCTGGAGCTATATATGGGAGAGTGCCGCATCTCTTATCCAACAATCTTTCTTGTCCCTTGTGCCGGAAGATTGTCGCAAAACCGAAATCCGATATTTTGAGGTTGTCGTTCGCATCTAGCAGAAGATTCTCGGGTTTGAGATCTCTGTGAGCGATTCCTCGGGTGTGCAGATACTCCTGGAAATTAATTCATTCGCTTGATTTCGATTTCGAAGACGGTCCCGTGCTCATGCTATTCCTGATGTCTGCACATGTGCGCCGAATCTACCGTCATGAAGAACACAGGCCACGCCTTCTGAGTACACCTACCATTCCAGCGATGAGCTGTTGGAAGTATCTCTGAGCTTGAGCCGGATCCATGCCGATGTCCGGCTCTATCCTGTCGAATAGCTCCCCGCCAGCGGCGTATTCGAGGAATATGTATTGGAACTTGTCATCTTTCCGATGGCCGAAACACTTCAATATGTTTTCATGGTTCAACAGTTTGTGGATTCCGATTTCTTTACGAATTTCGCTAATTGCTGTGAGGTGAATCCTGAGGTCGACGAGTTTGACGGCGACAGCTTCCGAAGTTTTTCGATTGACGAGCAATTTCACCTGAGGGACCATAAGGCGATTTATTGAGGTACTTGTTCGGGATGTCGGTACATGTCGGCTCTTCAAATCGCCAGCGAGAGTCGAAGGCATCCGAATCGAATTTCGATACTCACCTCACCGAAAGCTCCCTCCCCCAAAACTTGGACGATATCCCAGCCCTCTACGAACTCCATTTCACAAGTCTGCGGATGTATTCGTTTTTTTAAACTTATTCTCTAAAATCGTCGAAGACAGTAACCTCAGGGAGCATGCACACGGATGAATGGTTTCCATGGCCCGAAATTCCAGGAATGCAAATCCGTTTCGATATTAATGCGGAACTACTCGAGGAGAATGGCATCGCGAGGCTCAGAACGCTCCGAAATATATCTGAGGCAGGATTCCCGAAGCGATCGAGAGTCGACAACTCCGCCAAAAAGCCACCCCTCGAGCTACGGTGCTCGAAGTCCGACATCTTGTACTCGAACGTAAACTGCAGGTCTCCCTCGAAGACATCGAGGAGCAACGGAAGGTCCCGATGGCACCATCGCAATCTAATGGTTGGCGGATCGGATGACGCTCAGCTGACCCTGACACCGGTAATGGCAAAGCGAGAGGTTTCTTCCGGAGGCGAAACTGTGGTGTAGGTCTTGCATAGACAAGTTCCGCGGCTCCGGATAGCGCCCTCAACAAAACAAACTCACGGGAATGGATTCCGAAAGCGGAACAATCTATGAGCTCACGATTGCGTACATGAGGGAAATCGGAACGAACCTCACGGGCGGGAACCCAGGAAGATAAACATCGTCTAACAAAATATAAAGATGATCATTCGCATCAGGAAGAGTTCCTGAGCCCGCCTATTTTCGCGGCACAACACAGTCGGCGGCCAATATTGTTGCCTTCTGCTGCTGTGTTTTCTCTCTTGACGACGACGACTCAACCTTCCAAAACATCGAATGATCTTGCCTACCAAAAAGAGGATTTCCTCAAATACTGCCCGCCATCTTTGATGACTCGGGCTTTTATCGATTTTCGAAGGATTCCACGGAATTCAGCCGAGGGGAATAGGCTCGCAGCCTCGCAGAGAGATGGGAACTTGATCCTCTGGCGCTTCGAGAGGGATTTGAGAGCTATCATGAGTTTCCACAAATTGTTTCTGCTCATCCGTGAACTTCCAGAGGGGCTCTGCGATCAGCGCTCTCTGGCGGAACTCTTGGCAGATCATCGTTTCACGAATTCATTAGAGAGTGTGTTTTGCTCCAGGCTTGGTGTTTCCTCTCGGACGAGACGACGCACTCACCGAGCCAGTAAAACACTCCTCCACCGTAAGTCTCTTCCCTGCTATGCTCCGACTGAGGTGACGTTGCATGTATTGCTCACAGAAATCTGCTATCAGCTCTTCACGATGACGGGAAGGCTTAGGCTTTCGACACACCGGTGTCGTGCCAGAGTCTGGCAGGAAGACCCTGCGAGTCGATCTCCGCTCTCCCGTAGCTGCGCTAGAAATTATTCGGTTCCTTCGCCTCAAAAGTCCCATACCCTATGGAATGGTGATTTCTGGTTGGCAGAGCTAAGTAAGAGACAAGGTTGGCCAAGCTCCGTAAAAGCTCCGGGGACTCTCGTCCCGGTCGCTTTAGCTCTCACGATGCTCTAGTCTTCTGTGGCGGGCCGTCCGGGTCTGGAAACATTCGGATTCGGCTCCTCTGAATTGCGAAATATCTTCTTGCGCATATAAATATTTCCTCCGCACTCCTCAACACACAGAAATCGCCATCAGCATTCCTTCTTGGTTCTATGGGGAGCTTTCTCACATTTCTCACGTTTCTCTGCGACGTACGTCCGATAAGTGAGTTTGCGAATGGATTTGCTGTATCGACCCGCATTCTGAGAGACCTCCAATGCGACTAGGGGATGAAAGTCGGCCGAGACTCACGAGTTATTCGGCTGGAAATCTCTGTTTGAAGATTCTGGCTCCGATGGAAACGCTGGGTACTCGAGCGTTGGAGTGCGGTCATCATGAGGTCCCGCTGGGGCTCCCCACCTATTGATTATACTCTCATCGTGCTCGAGGGGATAAGTTCCCCGTGGGACGTCAGCTGCCCCAAAATCCTTGGCTTAAAATCTGAGTAATTGGGTCCAATTCCTTACAGGCTTCAAGAAAGCGGATCCTGATTAGTTAGAGATCTCGTAGAAACCTTCGTCATGAGCTCTTCAGAAGAAGTATCTTGGATATCATGGTTCTGTGGTCTCCGAGGCAACGAGTTCTTCTGCGAGTGTGATGAGGATTACATCCAGGACAAATTCAACCTCACTGGTCTCAATGAGCAGGTGTGGATCGTATACTTGGGCTTCGCGATCAGAGCTATCGATGGATATTTGCGCGATGTTCGTCCCTCTCACTGCTCCCTGTTCCATCGCAGGTACCTCACTACCGACAGGCGTTAGATATGATCCTGGATCTGGAGGCAGACGATGATATCGATGACAATCCCAATCAAAATGACCTAATTGAACAAGCGGCGGAGATGCTCTACGGCCTCATACACGCTCGTTACATCCTCACCAACAGGTTGGGCCCTACTCATAGCTTTCTGAGGATAGATCTTGAGCGTGAACGTGATCTCATGAGGATATCTGTTGTTCCAGGGGTATCGCTCAAATGCTTGAGAAGTACCAAAACGGAGACTTTGGCTACTGTCCACGTGTATATTGCGAGAACCAATCGCTGCTTCCAATCGGTGAGGAAACAAAGCCTCTCTTTCCATGAGCCATATATCCTAGAGGTTCATGGAAATCCCTCGTTGAAGTCATTAAAAGTTCTCCTGACCGGGAGTTCCGCATTGATTCCAATCGTAGTTAAGCGGAATACCTAACTTCATGGATAGCGACTCCATGAAAATCTTATCCCGTTCGATTTGATCAAGATTCGACTGCGTGCCCATTTGAACTCGATTTTGTCGACGCGCAACCTGTAAACTTCCTTGCTGCTTTGAAAGTCTGTTGGTGATCTCTGAGTTGTTTGAGGATGCGAAAACTGTTGGTTCACAACTTTATTCTTGAGAATGATCACTTTCTACCTTTTCGCCTCGCTCGCGCGACTCGTCACTTATCGGTTCCCTTTTTTCGACTGACTGCTCGATTGTTTACATTCTCCGGATTTGAATTACTGGCGCGCGTGTTGTCTCCTATCACAATTAATACCTTGACTGAACTCTAATATTCTATATCAGACACAACCCTCCATTATATCTGCTCATTGTTTTTGGCGGTCATCATTTTCTCGATATACAAGAGCCCCCAGTATTGTGATGAAAAGGGAACTCTCGTGGCGCGGAGGGAACCCAGCCATCGAATACCCTCCAGATGGCGGAATATCGGTGATTTTGATGCTGACCGGATTCTCTCGTTTCCACAGGTCTTAGTGATGTACCCGGAGAAGCTATGGTACAGCTGTACTGTCCGAAATGCATGGATGTCTACAATCCGAAGAGCACGCGACATCACCATTGCGACGGCGCTTATTTCGGAACTGGCTTTCCCCACATGCTGTTCATGGTCCACCCTGAATGTCGGCCTAAGCAGCCTGTAAAGCAGTTCGTGCCCCGGCTCTACGGCTTCAAAATCCATCCGCTAGCTTATCAAATTCAGGGCAACTCGGGGAATACGTTCAAAGCGCCAGGACGCTCGCTTGTCATCAATCCGGGAAAACGTTGATGCGTTGATTCTCCGTTGTCTGTCCTTGATCTATGTATATCGACTGGCCAATTTATCTGGGAACAAGTACGGGAGATTGTTGAAGTTACTGACGAGTTCGGGCGGGAGAAAACGCCTCGTGGCACTCGGACGGGAGGTGCGTTTACTATGGACTCTCATTTTAGATTGCATGTAAATTCGAGAATTAGGCAAACGAATGGAATCAAATGTTGAGAAGTCGCGACGGTGGCCGTATTCCGCTCAGCTGGAAGGGAGAACGATATCACGACCACGACGAAATCATGATGTACTATTATCACAGTGGAGGGAGAACAAGAAGCTGTCTAGGCGCCGTGTAGCCGACGGGAGGAATAGATTCCGGTGATTGCGTTCGACACCTTCGAATACTTCGCCTGCGAGCCCTATGAAACCCGCCGACCGGAAGCCCACGTTCGGGAATCGGTCTAGGGGAATGGTGGTGCAGTCTAGTTGAACAATTCGAGGGGAAGAGGAATAAAGACCGTTTCGTGAATTTTGTTGAATAATCATAGGCATAAATGTAAAAAGTATGAGCGATAAGCGTTTGCCACACACCGAGGGAGAGCAGAGCTCTCCGGAGAGAGATAATAAACTGATTGATGCGAATCGTAAATTGTCACCCTCGCTGCTCGCGTAAAGAAGGCGGGGAAAGAATCCATGGACGACTGGTCCTCATCCTGGCCGGTTAGGTGCGCAGGTTAAGGAGACGAAACTCGAGCTGGAGCCCTTAGCTTCTCGTAAACGCGTCGACGCCCGTGATGATGGGGCTACTGTAGATACAGTGGAGGTTTTCTCAGAGCTCAGGATGGTGGATTCGTCGCCGTCGACTGATTCGCGATCCTGAGAAGACGGACCCCACCGAAGGGCAGGGGAGGGCGAATGGGGATTCCCTTGCCGACCATACGATCGATTAGAATCAATAACTCCAATTGTAAGATGAAACTTGCCAACGAGAACTGTGAACTTCCCGGGGCGGAGAATGAGAGCTCAAGAGAGAGGATCCTTTTGACTTCCTTGTTCCCTTAGTCTCGAAGCGACCGTCCGTCAGTATTGGGATATGCAACCGTATTTATCCGGGACTAGAAATCTGCCTACGGATAGTTAAAGTCTCAGGCTCCCCCTACTCAGGCTCAGTGTCCGACGAACGGATTTTCCTCGAATGAAATCTGAAATGCCAATCCGCGCCTTCCTCATTGGGCCTCCAATCCGCCCAATCCGAGATGAACTCCAATCCACGCATTCAAAATTACGCACCAGATTCCCGTCGTTTGAAAATCCCCCTTGATACCCTCCAAAATCGACGGTGCGGGTCGCGGATCATCTTGGCATATCATGGTCCCCTCGACTCGAAGCACAGCAAATTCGAAAAATTCTGCTGAGGGATTCCGATCTCACCGAATATTTTGATTACAGAATTCTGATCCCAGCGGCGTCAGAATCGAGACCACTCCACTCGCAGCGGATAGGAGTTCATGTGCGTGGCGGTTGTTTCACGGTCAACGATTGGAGGCATATAGGATGTTCATGTCAAGGAGCTCTCCTCTTGCTGCTGACGAGTAAACATTCTTTTTTGAAAATGACAATCGCCTGGTTTGACATGCTTTTCTGAAAGTTTCCGAGCCCCGGAGCAACCCCGAGTCGTTTTTCCCTGCTGTCCTGCACTTCATACCCCTTTCCTGCAGGCTCCGAAACCCGGAAAAAACACCATTTACATTGAAATCCGGGATATTTTTCTCGGATTGTGATGGAAATGTCATTTCCCCAGGTTCCGAGGCCCGGAAAGACCCATTCCCATTGATATCCGAGCAAAACATCCCGGATTTCGATGTAAATGGTGTTTTTTCCGGGTTTCGGAGCCTGCAGGGAAGGGGTATGAAATGCGGGACAGCAGGGAAAAACGACTCGGGGTTGCTCCGGGGCTCGGAAACTTTCAGAAAAGCATGTCGAACCTGGTGATTGTCATTTTCAAAAAAGAATGTTTACTTGTGAGACCAATCACCTCTCTTGATCCCCGGGCGGAATTCTAGGGGGAGTCCCCTCCGGAATTCCCGCATCCGTGGACACTTATTGGACATCGCATTCTCGAGGCTTCGAATCCTCTCAAAGCGAATTATTTCCAAAGGGTGTGGCACAGGATCTCACAGAGACCTGTAATTTTGTGTAGCGTCGGATTCCAGGATCATAGCCGCGGCATAGTCCACGGCTATGAATCGAAATCTGATCGCAGGTCCGGTCTCGGGAACTATTGCGATATTGAATGCTTGCGTCGCTGAGAGGAAGAGAGCTTCGCAGCAGGAAGTCTGCGATATTCGGGATACCTTTCCCCTCTAGCGTCTGAGGCGAAACAGAAACGATTTTCCGCGTCGGTCTTCGAGTACCTGTTTCGGTTAGGACACTCGCAGAGTCCAGGGAGTGTCGAATGCTACCGATATGATTCGGCTCCACCGATCCCGGCGTGGTCGCTCGGGTTCAGATTCTCGAATCCAACTAAGTTCTCATCCGGAATAAGGGACGCTCTGATGCTGCGAGGGCTCCGGGAAGGCCTTGCGAGTAGGTTCGAGACCACCAGTCCTGGGGTTGGAACGAAACCTTGATCGAACACATTCCGCGGCTATCTGCCTCCTCATGGAAGTCAAATGGACATGGTTCCCGCTCTGACTGAGATACGAGGCATGAAGAACTCCGGTATTGAAGTCACGTGCGAATCTCAGAGTTTAGAGCATCAGGCAGTTCTCATCCGTTTTACACGGCATCATATGCGGACCGGCTTTCGTTGCATTCGTCTTTGAGTTTCCCACTCGACCAGGAGCTGCGCTGTCGACGTTGTCCCGTCTGTTCAATGTATCTCCGGATGATCTTGTGGAAGATGAGCCGGTCGCGTCCAAGGCTACACCCTCGGTCCAAAATGATGCCCATCGATCGAAAAAATCCTCCGAGTCATCGGGTAGGGTCGATAGATCACTCCTTACTAACTCGCACTCATTCAATCATCCGGAACCCTTCGATAAAGGTTCGTGCGGATCTACCCCCGAGGAGAACTCTTCAAGCCCGCTCAAGAGGAGAGACCGCCCGCGAACCTTATGATCAGATCTCGCCATTGGCGCTTGGTCCGGCGGGCTACGACTCCGTCAGATCGAAGTGAAAGAGATTTTAAAGGGGAAAAGTTCGATTCGAGCAAGATATTTTCGACCCAAGAGTCTGCCGCTCGCACAAAGATTCGGATTTCTACACTGGCCCAATATTCGACATGGTTTCTCCGGGCTGCAAACATCATTCCCTCCACCTTGAACAGGAACGGGGACCAGGCAGTTCCCGAAGCAGGATTCGATATCAAAATCCTCAGGAATCATGCATTAGAGTAGCCGAATTATCTGAGTGACGTCTCGATCGAGTAGAGAGTTCCCACGATTTCGTCTCGGATACAAGGGCTAATGGAGCTTTATCACATCAGAGATCACAGGACCGCATTCGAAGTTTGGCGTCAGAGGATCGGAGACGTCTCCGCGTCCAGCAGATAGACCCGAGAGGGATTTGAGAGAGCGATCATCCGTTTCAACGAATTGCTTCTGCTCATTCGCGAACTCCCAGAGAGGCTCTGCGATCAGCGCCCTCTGGCGGGACTCTAGCCCGGTACGCCCCAACTCGCCGCGATCCAACTCGCCGCAGGATCAAACTCGCCGCCGTAATCGACCACCTTAGAGCGACTGGTCCTCGGTTCATTCGTCTGAGTACCTCAACCTAATTGGAGCATAGTTTTCTCTGCACCCGGAAGAGAAATTATCAAATTAGCCGGAACAAAGGGAAGGAGCTTTCGGGAAGTTTTGCGGGATAGTGATCTCACGAAAGCTGGTGGCCCCGACAAGGGCCGTTTTCTTGCTCTCTGTTTGGGAGCAAAACACGAGAGACTTGAGCCTTACCGATCTCCTTTCTCGAGCAGGAGAACAGCCATGACGATCCATTTCCTACAGATAGCGAAGCGAAGATGACAGGACATGAGACTCGACTTGTCGTATTGGCTCGGCATTCAGTGAAATACTGTATGGTCTTTTAATTTAAAATCGCCCGAATATTCCGACTGATTTCGAATAAAAGATAAGCACAATGATGAAGCTCAATCATCATAGCTGTCTGCCGCTGCGTTTGCCGTGTGAGAGCAGGACGTCGCTTCAATCCCGAAGTTCTTGGCGATTCCGCGCAGATAAACGATCGACGTCCTCGAGTGGAACTGCCGGGTGCGATTGTCAGCGGCTACGTACTCATTGCGCTCGATTCAGACTCTTCGCCCAGACTCGGTTTGTCGGAAACTGCATTTGAACGGCTGTCGATGCAACTTGTTGAATGCTGTTGATTAGTTGAGCGGGAGTCTCTTGACTGTGGGTACGCGAGATGCTGAGGAATTCAGTGGAGAGGACAAGACGATGCGAACGAGTCTTGGACGTTCCACTGAACTGGCAGCGCCCGAAGTCGTAACTGTAATCCGCGCTCATACTGTCAAACACATGAAGCTGTCCATCGTGAGAAAAATTGTCACACCCACGTTGGGATTTCACAATTTTCGGAGAGTCGGACATCGTGCTGCAGGTCACTTGGGGCGCGAAAAAGTCCAAGCGAGAAAACGTGCACGCCGTTCCTACCTAACATATCGAAAGCAATATGCAAGCCGATGAGTGGTTCAGAGGTCAGCGCCTCTGCAACTTCTCGTGCGAATGTGCGTCGCAGCAATGACGCGCAACGCCGCGCGGTTTCGATTCCTTCTGACGGCCCGGGAGCAGATCTCCGGCCGCAATCAACCCGGAAGCCCAGAATGCTACAAGGCTCGCCGACCAGTCATGATCCTTGAGCACTCATACTAGTCCATGATTCGTCATGGGGAGCCCCACCTAATCGGTGATCAACTCCAGTCAGAGGGTCAGAAAGGTGTCGTTACGTCGCTCGTATAAAGATCCATCGACGATTGAATGCTGCTACCGAATGCTTTTGTTTCCGCTACTTCCGATGCCTCGACTCGGATGAAATCATCAAAGATCATCATCAATGTTGCCGTCCTGTGTCCTGTCTCTATGGCTTTCCTGGCTAATTCGAGAATTTCTATGCTCCTAAAACCATAAGATATTTAGACGAATCAGCCGAGGACCAGTCGCTCTGAAGTGGTCGCCCTCGGCGGCGAGTCGGGCCACGGCGAGTCGCCCGGGGCGAGTTGGGTCGCGGCGACTTAGGTCGCGGCGAGCTGGTCGCGGCGCGCTGCTCGCGGCGAGTTGGGGCGCTCCGACTCTTGGCAGATCATCGTTTCACGAATTCATTTGAGAGTGTGTTTTGCTTCTGGCTTTGTGTTTCCTCGGACGAGACGACGAACTCACCGAGCCAGTGAAACACTCATCCGCTGTGAGTCTTTTCTCTTCTATGCTCCGACTGAGGTGACGTTGCATGTATTGCTTACAGAAATCTGCTGTCGGCTCGTAACGATGACGGGAAGACTTAGGCTCAGCACACACCGCTGTCGTGCCAGATTCCCGCAGAAAGGCCCGGAGAGTCGATCTGTGGTCTCCTGTGGCTGCACCAGAATTTATTCTGTTGCTTCGCCTCAAAAGTTCCGTCCTCTATGTAATGGTGATTTCTGGTTTGCAGAGCTAAGTAGGTTGGCCGAGCTCCGTAAAAGCTCCGGGGACTCTCGTCCGGGTCGCTCTAGCTCTCACGAGGCTGTGGTCTTCTGAGGCGGGCTGTCCGGGTCTCGAAAACATTTGGATTCGACTCCTCAGAATTGCGAAAAATCCTCTTGCGCATTTAAATATTTCCTTGAATACTCTGTGCGCACTCCTCAACATCCAGAAATCGCCATCAGCATGGCTCCTTGATTCTATGGAGAGCTTTCTCACATTGGTCGGGCATCACGTTTCTCTGCGACGAACGTCCGATAAGTGAATTCGCGAACGGATTTGCTGTATCGACCCGCATTCTGCGAGACCTTTATTGCGACTCGGGGATGGGAGTCGGCCGAGACTCACGAGCCATCCAGCTGGAGGTCTCTCTTTTAAGGAAACGCTGGGTACTCGAGCGTCGGAGAGCGGTCATCATGGGGGCTCGCTGGGGCTCCCCACCCATTGATGATACTCTCATCGTGCTCGAGGGGATAAGTTTCCCGTGGGACGTCAGCTGCCCCCAAATCCTCGGCATGCAATGGTAATAATTGGGTCCGATTCCTTACAGGCTTCAAGGAAGCGGATCCTGATTACTTAGAGATCTCGTAGAAACCTTCGTCATGAGCTCTTCAGAAGAAGTATCTTGGATATCATGGTTCTGTGGTCTCCGAGGCAACGAGTTCTTCTGCGAGTGTGATGAGGATTACATCCAGGACAAATTCAACCTCACTGGTCTCAATGAGCAGGTGTGGATCGTATACTTGGGCTTCGCGATCAGAGCTATCGGTAGATATTCGCGCGTTGTTCGTTTCTCTCACTGCTCCCATTTCCATCGCAGGTACCTCACTACCGACAGGCGTTAGATATGATCCTGGATCTCGAGGCAGACGATGATATCGATGACAATCCCAATCAGAATGACCTAATTGAACAAGCGGCGGAGATGCTCTACGGCCTCATACACGCTCGTTACATCCTCACCAACAGGTATCGCTCCTTGATCATTCCATCCGAGGTGCCGTGTCGGCATACGCCTGCTTCCATTGTTTCTGATAATCTGACATTGATCTCAATAGTCCTCTCACGCCTCGGCATGGCGACTCCTCGGCTCGAGTGCTGAGCGTTGTATCTCATAGCTAGAGCCCATGGTTTTGGTGATGAATGCTTCAAAACTTGGGCTCTGCTCATAGCTTACTGAGCATAGATCTTGAGCGTGAACGTGATTTCATGGGAATCTCTGTTGTTCCAGGGGTATCGCTCAGATGCTTGAAAAGTACCAAAACGGAGACTTCGGCTACTGTCCACGTGTATATTGTGAGAACCAATCGCTGCTTCCAATCGGTAAGGGAACCAAGCCTCTGTTTTAATGAGCTATAGATCCTAGGGGTTCATGGAAATTCCGCGTTGAAGTCATCCAAGGATCTCTTGACCAGGAGTTCCGCGTTGATTCCAATCGGAGTTAAGCGGAATACCTCATTTCATGGATAGCGACTAGCGACTCCATGAAAATCTTATCCCATTCGATTCGATCAAGATTCGACTGTGTGCCCGTTCGAACTCGATAATGTCAAGTCGCAACCCTCCATTATATCTGCTCATTGTTCTATGCAGTCATGATTTTCTTGATATACAACAGCTCACAGTATTGTAGCAGACAGGGGATTCTCGTGGCGTGGAGGGAACCCAACCGTCGGATACCCCACAGAAAGCGGAATATCGGTAATTATGGAGCTGACCGAGTTGTCTCGTCTTCACAGGTCTTAGTGATGTACCAGGAGAATCTATGGTGAAGCTGTACTGTCCGAAATGCATGGATGTCTACAGTCCGAAGAGCACGCGACATCACCATTGCGACGGCGCTTATTTTGGAACTGGCTTCCCCCACATGCTGTTCATGGTCCACCCCGAATGTCGGCCTAAGCAGCCTGTGAAGCAATTCGTGCCCCGGCTCTACGGCTTCAAAATTCATCCGCTAGCTTATCAAATTCAGGGCAACTCGGGTAATACGTTCAAAGCGCCAGGGCGCTCGTTTGTCATCAATCCGGGAAAACGTTGATGCTTTGATTCTTCCTTGTCTGTCCATCATCGATATCGACTGGCCAATTTATTTGAGGACAACCACGAGACATTGTTGAAGTTACTGACCAGCTCGGGCGGCCCGCGACGGTAGCCGTATTCCGCTCAACTGAAAAAGAGAACGATGACACGACCACGACGAAATCATGATGTACATTATCACATCGGAGGAAGAACTACAAGCTGTCTAGGCGCCGTGTAGCCGACTTAGAAAACTGTTGGACGGTAAAACTAGAGTTCTCATCCGCGATTCCGGTGACTGCGTCACCTCAGCGTTCGGATATTTCGCTTGTGAGCCCGATGAAACGGGCCGACCGGAAGCCCTTGTTCGGGAATCGGGCTAGGGGAATGGTGGTGCAGGATAGTCAAACAGTTCGAAGGGAACGTTTGGTGAATTTTGTTGAATAACCCTAGGCATGAATGTAAAAAGTATGAGCGATGAGCGTTTGCCACACACCGAGGAAGAGAATAGTTCTCTGGAGAGAGATAATAAATTGATTGATGCGAGTCGTAAATCGTAACCCTCGCTGCGCGCCTGAGGAAGGCTGATCCGCGATCCTGGCACGACGGAACCCGTCGAAGAGCGGCGGAAGACGAATGAGGAATCCTCTTGCCGACCATACGATTTATAAGGATCGATGGCTCCCATTTTAAGATGAAACTTGCTAACGAAAACTGAACTTTTCGGGGCGGAGAATAAAAGCTCATGAGGAAGGATCTGGTTGGCTTCCTCCTTCTCTCAGTCTCGAAGCGACTGTCCATCGCTATTGGGATATGCGACCGTATGAATGTGGCACTCGGGATGAACTCTGAAAGGTTCCAGTTACGGGCTCCCTCAACTCAGGCTCAGTATCCAACGTACGAGCTTTCCTCGGATGAAATCTGAAGTGCCAATCTGCCCGTTCCTCATTGGGCCTCCAATATCCGAATATCTTGATTACAGAGTCTTGAGCCCTGCGGCGTCAGACCACTCAGAGGAGAAAATGAAACGACTTTCCGCGTCGGTCTTCGAGTACCTGTTCCGGTGAGGACACTCGCTACAAAAACGATTCCGATCCGCCGATCGCGGCGTGGTCGTTCGTACTCAGATTTCTGAATCCAAATAAGTTCTCATCGGGAATGGGGGCCCCTGGGGCCCAACGAGGAAACGGCGGCTAGAGAGAGAGCATTGCATGAAAAAGAGATCGCCTTTTGGTTGAGAGCCAGCCGCGTGCGCGATTATTGACGGCCGGCTGGTTCGTTTCCCTGAGCCGGGGCAACCTTGCCGTTCCATGCACACGGCATCAGGCAATTCCTCGACTTTTCCCCGAACCTGGTGTGGAATCGACAAATCCGTTCGCCCGTTGGGGTTGCCGGTGTCGTCGGTCCGCCTTTCTGTCGGCCTCTTCCCCGGGCTGGGGAAAATCATAATCAAACCTATGACTATGATTATAATCACAGATCGGATTTTTGTGACTATAATCATAACCTATGACTATGATTATAATCACAGATCGGATTTTTGTGATTATAATCATAACCATAATCATAATCACAGGCGTAATCATACCCGTAATCACAGTTTCTAGCACCACAGGGTACAGGATTATTCAATAATTAAACATAATGATGATTGAGATTGAAATCATAATTCATAATCATAATCACAGGCGTGACCATACCCGTAGTCACAGCTTCCAGCATCGCAAGATTCCGCGCAGACGAAAAAATTTCCCGGGCTTCGCGCTGAGCGAGCGGAAGGTCAACATCCAGGCGAGTGATCGCGACACGGCGACATCGACGCGGAGAGCCTTCGCCTGAGCCGCAGGAGGAGAAGGAGGGGGGATCAGGGCGAACCCATGCAAGAATCGAGATCCAGTATGCCGAAACCCCCCAGATACATACCTATCATCCTCAAAACCCGTGTCTTGACGGAAATCCTATGATTACGGGTATGATTACGGGAAAATCACAGGATTGCTGTGATTATGATTATGATTATGACTCTAATCATAATCATACTTGTGATTTTCAGATATCTGTGATTTAGACTATGATTTTAATCATAGTCATAGGTTTGATTATGATTTTCCCCAACTCAACTATGGGGGACGCTCCGACGCTGCGAGGGCTCCAAGAAGATCAAACGGCCGCCGGGTTTTGCGAGAAGTTTCGAGATGACGAAGGTTCTGCTCCTGGAACGACACCTTGATCCAACATATTTTGCGGGTCTTGGCCTGCTCATTGAACTCAAATGAACATGATTTCCCCACTCAACGATTTCAGGGCTCAATCATTCCCAGACGACTCTGGCCCCCGGTGACCGGAATCGCCATCCCTCGAAACTTCCGACTCCCGAAACCCCCATTTCGTAGCAGGACCCAGGTATCAATCCGCCCCTCTCTCGATGCATTGACCCCCCCCTCGGAGAACTCCTGGATCCACCCCTTCTCACAGCTCGCGTTCAACTGTGTGGAATTTATGAGATTCATGAGTGGAGATTTCATTTTCGTGGAGATTTATGACGCGTTCTCTTCATACGACTCAATTGTCAGCATGTTCATACTACGCAGCCCGAAATCTGCAGGAGGCGATCAATGATGAGCAATATGAAATATGACCCGAAGATCGGGGTCCTGCTCTGACTGAGATACAAGACATGAAGAACTTCGGTATTGGAGTCACGCGCGAATCTCAAAGTTTAGAGCGTCAGGCAGCTCTCATCTGAGTTCGTCTTACACGGTATCATATGCGGACCGGCTTTCGTTGCATTCGTCTCTGAGTTTCTCCCTCGACCAGGAGTTTCGTCGTCGTCGTTGTACCGTCTATTCGATGTATCTCCGGGAGATCTTGCAGGAGACGAGCCGGTCGCGTCCAGGGCTGCACCCTCAGTCCAAAATGATGCCCATCGATCGAAAAAATTCTCCGAGTCATCGGGTACGGTCACTCCTAACTCGCACTCACTGAATCATTTGGAACCCTTCGATGAAGGTTCGTGCGGATCTACCCCCGAGGAGAACTCTTCAAGCCCGCTCAAGAGGAGAAACCGCCCGCGAACCTTATGGTAGGTCTAGCCATCGGCGCTGGATCTGGTGGGCTACGGCTCCATTAGGTCGGAGTGAAGGAGATTTTGAGGGAGAAGAGTTCGATTTGAGCAAGATATTTCCAACCCAAGAGTCTGTCGCTCGCACTAAGATTTGGATTCCTTCACTGGCTCAATATCCGGCATGGTTTCTCCGGGCTTCAAGCATGATTTCCTTCACCTAGAACACGAACCGAATATCAGAATCTCCGAGAATGCACCAGAGTTTTCGTATTATCTCAGCGACATCTTGGCATTACTTTGGAGTGGAGAGAATGGGCACTGAGATTTATACCTCGAGAGCCTGCTCAGTCATACGATAACTACGTCCTATTCATAATCATACGGGATGTGGCAAAATCGATCAAATTGATCGAGATTTTGACAGACCGTTCAGATCGCAGAGGGAGTTTCCATGATTTCGTCTCGGAATCAAAGGCTAATGGAGCTTCTGTTGATCAGATCCGAGATCACTGGACCGCATTCAGAGTTCAGCGTCAGGGGATCCGAGACGTCTCCGCGTCCCGCGTATAATCATGCTCCTTCGTGCCGGCGTGTTCACGGTCTGTGATAGTGTCGCATGTACCGGCTCCTACTCCATAACCTGCGGTATGAAGAGGCTCACAACCTCAGGAGAGACTCGCTTTTTACAGATGGTCCCATTCACGAGTTTCGATTACGACTCTCAAGGTATTCTTCGGTTCGCTGGAGGATTCTATGGGGAAACCTTGATAGAGATTTTGGCTTCACTGAACATCACGTAAGGAGGCTGGGAGAGTTCTTCGCAGCCCCCCCCTATCATTGCGGAACAGAACTTCATCGAAGTCGATTTTCCAGTGCCGAATACCAGTACAACAAACGCGGGATTGGATATATCTTCCCTAACGGTACCGGAGACGGTCTTCTCAAAGATACAGCGAGCGGGGTAGGTCGGAACAGCTTGTAGGAATATGCGGTTTGGCCGCGAACTTCTCGTGGGACTCCTGAGGATTTTCTTGCAGCGAGTAGACGTACTCTGGGGCCCTCTTGGTCCCCATGAAACCCGACTCGTCGCAGGCATCAAATTCTCGCGGGGGGTTATACCCGTACAGGTGAGGAGGTCCACCCCGGATCATTCAAGTATGATCGAAGAAGCTCAAGAATCGAGCGACATTTAAGTTTATTCCCCCCAGCTGAAATGCGTGGCCGCCAGGAGGAGGATCGCACAGCAGAACATTTCTGGGATTCTTTCGATCCTACCATTCGAGGCGAGCGCTGTTTCATTTTCGATGGTCCTCAAAGCTAGACCAGGTCCTTCGGCTCTCACGGTCAGAGTTTCCAGGCATATGTACTCATCGCAATCACCATCCTCACGGTCGCCCTGATTCTACGGAAAATTTTGGGCTCCTCGTCATTTTCTCTCATGCATCTGACATCGTGGATTACGGCGAAAGGTGATTTTATTTATCCAACATCTGTTGATCGAAAAAAGGAACGAACATAATCTGTGTCCGAACATAATCACATGATTTGAGTCTTCTCGCTGAATGGATCATTTTCCAGGCATTTCCGCTGGGAGAGCCGAAAACTACAAAAATAAGTTCGCGTCTGCGATCTTGGTCTCGTCCTTTCTGTTTTTCAGCATTTTCATTCTAAATGTTTTTTCATCGGAAATGAGCGCAGCACTGACACTTCCCGAGGGCACTGCGAAAATCAGATCTTGGGCGGACCTGGCGAACAAATTCGAGACCACAAAAGTGTGGGCTTGGAGAGACACCGTCATAGAGTACATTATGCGGGTAAGTATCGAACAAGAGTCATTTGTTATGAATCATACATATTCCTACGACGCACCAATCGAATGACTCCGGAGCCCCATCCGTCGACTACATTTCCCGCTTGGTGAGCGAAAGCTGACTTCGCAGACATCGGCTAACAAGGACATACGGAAGGTTTTCAAAAGAACACAGAGAGACAAGTCCATGGTGAGCCCTTTCAATTTCTACTCGAGATCTCTCGCCGAGGACCTAGCCCGAGGGAAAGTTGTGTTCTTGTCTGAAAGCTCATCAGACCGACCGGGGGTAAGAGTCTCATTGTCGACTCAGTTCGATGGAAGCAAGCGAATTCTTGAAGCCCCGAGCATTTCAACGGAATAATTCTCCACAGCTGGCGCCCTTCTGTATGGAATTCATGAGCTTTGCGGAAATTTATGATGCCTTCACGTTCTATGACTCCATCATGAGCATGTACTACGCACCCCATATCTCACGGAGTCTACAGAAGACGATCAATGCTAAGCAAGTACTCATTTTGCGATCGATTTCAACAGTCACAGTCGCTCTCGCGCCTCCCATGAACTCATGAGTGATGAGCTCTTGCCATCCTAGATTGCAGAGATCGTTCGAGGCTCAGCTGTTTCAACGCCCACTCAAAGATCGTGGTCCTTCTCTGAGATACGAAGCTTGCCGGACTTCGATATCGAGGTCTCGTGCGAACACTCAAGTTCTCGACCTCAGAAAACTCTTATCCGTCTTCGTTCTTCACGGCATGATATGCGGATTGGCTCTCCTCGCTTTCGCATTCGAGTTCCCCATCTCGAGGAAGATACGCCTGCGCCGCTTCCCCGTCGCTTCACGGTTGTTCCCACAGAATTCCCGCGAGTCTGGAAAGTGCAGAA